GAAGTAGTAGTAGTAGTAGTAGTAGTAGTAGTAGTAGTAGTAGTAGTAGTAGTAGTAGGAGTAGTAGTAGTAGTAGTAGTAGTAGTACTCAGGACGCAAGAACTGACTTCCGATCTCTACTCCTCTGGACTCTCATCATATTTTTGTTAAGTCGAACGATGAGATCCCGTAGGATTTCGGGGCCTGCAAGCATGGACGAACGAAAGTATCTGACTCTGCTAATTCCGACTCTACACGCCTGTCACTACATAGAATAGCTTTATTGCTGCATTGGTAGTGCCCTTCTGTTTGTAGTTCTCTTGGTCTGCTGCACTCGTTTGATTTCAAAAACTGCAGCTCTTGTTTTCGTGCTAGTCTCCATGCTTTCCTGTCCTATGCAAGCGACTCGCGGTAAGCCTTCAGATGTTTTACCAAAGGCTGCCTTGTGTGGTTATTGTCTGCCACCCGCTTTCTCAGCATCGCCGTTATGCAGTGGTTTGGGTCGGTCTTCATCTGAAATCCTCACCACGTAGTAAAAATTGAATCTGCCACAGCATTCGAAAGTTGCTGCTCAGGCCACCTGAACGAAGGACCTCAGTGCCAGGGATTTTTTCATGCCATTTTGCCTTCAGATTTGTCAGAAGGCATCTGAATTGAAATTGTCCGAACCTTCTCATGTGAATACCATTGTCACTATTTACACGCCGTAGACAGTCAGTCTTCTGCACTTTTCTTAGCATTGCGGTAGATGCGCTGTCGATTTTATTCAGTTGACGCACTTTTGGTGCATTTCATGACTTCTCCTGATGTTTGCTACTTTGTTTTTATGCGATTTTGTCGTTCATGTGAGATCGGTTCTTCACGTGTTGTGGACGGTAAGTGGGATTTCTTTGGTCATAGGACCAATATTGATTTTACGGGTATGTAAGTACAAGGACTTCCCTGCTAGGGGTTCAGTTCGCGGCCCGTAATATACATTAGTTGTTTTTAACAACATCTCCTCCCCCTAGAAATAGTTTGTTGTATTAAGCGCCGCCTTCCGGGGAAGTCAACGTTTGATCGTGCTAGTCTTTTTGTTCAATTGCGTATAATCGGCTCCAGGTTTGGTTCCTCGTTCAACCGTCATTAGTTCTTTGCTTTTGTCCATTCCCCCGCTTGTCATTTTTGGTGTTTAAGTGAATCACAGGTTCTTCTTTGAAGAGCCTACGCACAGTAAGGGACAATGAAAGCTGGTAGGGCCTCTTGGGTCAGGGTAAGAAGTAATCTAGAACAGGTAATGGGGGTTTCAGACTTTTCATTTGATGCCGTTAAAGTGCCCCGAATGCTTTATTTTATTCATTTAAAAGTCTCAGAACGCTCGAATTAAAGAAAACTATCTCACAGTGAACACAAATATCTAACCGAGCTTGCTTATTGTCTTATTTTTTGCAGATCCCCCCATTCCATTTCGTTGGGAGACCGTTCAGCCCATCACAGATTCCCACCGTCGTCCCACGGATACCGTCCCCTCTCGCCCAGAAATTTTAAACTTCTGTGCTTGAGTATTTTTGGCCGACAATTCCAAATTATTCCGGAAACAGAAGTCCTCCCCTCCCCCCCCCTTCCAGGCCTACTTCCATGGCTACCGCACTGCCAAATGCGCCATTTTCCGATATTTTATCCTACGGCTTTTTTAGTTCCGTTACCCAACTCTGATTTTCTATTGTCTTCTGCTTTAACTGGATGCTGCCATTGTTGCTTACTGGACGTTTGCGCCATCTTATTTTAACTCTCTTAGTAGCCTGTTTGACTTTTACACGTCGTAGTCTGCCATTCTTCTTAACAAGTAGGACTGAACCGACCTACGGTGCCCAGTACTATACTCTAAATCCAATATATTTTAGCTCATTCATTTCTTTGCCTTACGCCTCTTGAAGTAGGATGAGCGCCTCCCACATCCGTCTTGAATCTAGTCCCGTTGAACCCTTTCGTTGGAGTTCTGGATGATTTGGCATTGGTAGTAAATAACGCGTTGAAGCCCTTGACGTCGGGTGGCGCACTTATTGTGCGCGTCCAAATTATCTAGTATTGCGGATATTACTGCTGAGGTAAGCCTGCCTCTCATAACGTACGTGGTCTTGCAGAGTGCGGGGGTACAGAAACTTTGGGGGTGGCGGGATTCTCCTGGTTTGTTCTTTGCGACATTGCATGCCAGACACAGCGTGCTGCCTTCATGGAATCCGTGATGGCAAAGCCAGCGTTAGTCGTTGGACTCCTGCTTGGGCATTCACTGTTGGCTGGCTGTTTAACGTGGGCGTGGTTGCAGCTGCCTGGCCTGGGCATGGGAAACTTGGTTGTAAAATTTTGATGCGTATGCTGCTGCTTTGCCCTTGTTACCGTTTGTCACCTAGTTCCTAAATTGCATCGTGGGACGAAGTTCCTACAATGGCAGCCTATGTGAACGCCCAAATGGTCTGCACATATGGCCCATGCTATTATCGGTCGCGCGAAATCAACAGTGCCAACGCTGGTCGGTCCTCGAGAAGCGACAGCATATGCGTTAGTTGGATTCGAGTGAGGCAAACTTGCCTGATGTCAATTTCGCCATACCCATCGTATTTCGATGATAAGTTTAGGTCAAGATGGCTTATGATGGATCTCAAATCGATTATTGCCCTGGCACCAAGTACCCGTCTGTTGTTGTGTGCTACTCCTTCAAGCCTCATTAATTAAACTATATTCACTTGGACAAGGCTTGCATGAGGACATACTTAGAAAGAGCCATTGTAGCCCATTCTTCAGACGGGACAACCGAGTTATCTAGTCACTTGACAACCTTAACCACGGCTGCTAGGGCACCGTAATAGCCCAAAAGCCTGTCTGATTTATTACAGCGATGAAAGTGCCCCCAGAACCGGTCCTGATCGCCCGCAGTCTGAAATGATTCATCTGCAAGACTAAGGCATGCCGAGCGGAAGTGAGATCGGGTTTATGAGACTACAGCACTTTCCCCCGCCTCTCACATGGCGAACGCGTCTGGTTCTAAAGCTCAACTGTTTTTGTCACGGTTTCACCGATAGGTGACTGTATACGTCGTTGGGCCTCAGAGGTTGCCCGATCCCACCTTCGGTCATCTTGACGTTGTCTTGACATCGGGACCTTGTGAATATGGGAGGAGAGACTGTGGTGGGTACCGCGTGAGTCACCGTCCTGCGTCCCGATTGTACAGGACTGCAACCACTGGGTTGGGACGTATGCCGTAGACACCGCGGTAAGCAGCTCATGCTAATTTTGTGCAGGCGATTCTTAAGGTTACTCTGTTTAGGCAACTGCTGTTAAAACTGGTCAACGGCGTTGCACTGCCAAACATGCTCCCGACGTCTAGGCTCCCTAGCCATAACGTCATCGTTCCTCTAACACGAAAAGCTCTGCCTCTTTCCACTTGGGAGACTTTTTCATGTCCTTTTGGCCTGGCCGATCTGTCGTTATTTCCACCGAACGCAGTTTTAAGCCTTACGTTAAAAAAGTACAGAATTTGGTCTTTTCCACAAACCTTTGATGAACCTACCCGTTTTTGTGATCAGTGTCCGTGAAGCCGTTGAGACCGTATTAAAATCGCCTGTGAGGTTTATAAAGGTCACGCGGATACATCACGTTCCAATTTATCGGTCATGTGCTTTGAACTAACAGGTCAATCACGCACTATTCCTGGCCTTAACAGCTAATTGAACATACTTTTAAAGCTTTTTGTTGACTTTTAGTGTAGTAAAGGTTATCGATGTAGTCTTGTAATGCCCTAAGATCTGTATAGGATTGTTTGGATGAAGGAAAGCTGTTTTGGAGCGCGGACCTGCAATGGAGATGGCGTGTTGGTGATAACGCCCTGTGCCCCTCCCCCGCGCTACCGCCTTCACGCAACTTTCCGCAACGCTCGCATCGCACGCTCTCTCTCTCTTTCTCAACTTCGGCACCTCCATCGGCCGTCCCGTGCAGTTGCCCACCGGTTATTAAGTTGGCATGTCAGTGCCGCCTCACCCTTCAGACAGGTCATTCCCTTGTTGTAACTCACCCCGTCTGTACAATTAACTAATATTATCCGTATTCCCAGTTTACCTCTCTTCCCATTACATCGTATTACCTACCTAGAGCATCTTCCCCTACACATGGATGAGTATTATGACATGTTACCAGCTTTATTCAGATCGGTTTTAGTCAGGACCTCATCACAGTGTTTCGGTACCTCGGTGTGTGTTATCCTTGACGTCCTCGGCCGCTACAGTCTGAACTCCTGAGTACAAAATATCCCCGTGTTTTTATGGGTGTTGCAGACATTTTCCGGAGGTATTAAGGTCCTTCAGGGACGAACGTTTGCTATTTAACGTAAAACTTAGACGATATCGACGGCAGTCCACGAATTGCGCAGAACACCGTATCCTGGGCCATGAAAGTGGACAAATTTATTGTACAGAAGATTGATTGCCTGAAAGAGATATCGACATGTCTGCTAAACAATCCGTTTACATCGCGAATACGTTGTACCGGAACATAATGGATCCGATCTGATTACTAACC